GCACACCAGTGGTTAACGGCGGAGCAGAGCGAAGGGACCCTCCGGAGCTCCAGCGAGAGTGTTTGGCTCAGGGAAAGCTTCTGACAATCTTGATTAACAGCCTCTTCATCTGTTCATGCCGGCGATAAGCCACAGGAGCTCTGGGCCGCTTCAGCTTTATAATCAAGAGGGTTCGAAAGAAGCAATTTTCTCCTCTTGCAACCCAGTTGATTCTCATTTAATTGCTGCCCGTTTTGCATAGATTTCCCACAATTGCCATGGCACTGTCTCTGCACTTCATCCTCTCCAGCGAATCTGTGGTGCTTGACTCGCCTGTTGTTTGGCCAGGCTGGGATTTGTGATGCTTTGGGGCTTTGAAATCTCTCCGTACAATTTAGGCAGAACATGCCCAAGACACAGCTTCTGTAGGAGAAAACCTCTGGAGATTTTTTTGTTTTGTTTTGCTTTTGTTTTTTCCTCCTTGCTATCATACAGTGTGTTGGGGCGGTGCTTTTGGGAAAAATAAATAGAAAAACCTGAGAATGAAAAGCTGAAAACCTGCTATGACATGGAGAAGTCCCTGACATTGTGCTGGTGGGGCATGCTGGTGACAAGCAGTGGTAGCCTAGCTCGTCTCCCTGCCACCATCTGTGATCTTGCTTGGTTTTGCCTTGCCATTTTTTATTGCTGAGCTTCCCTCAGCATTGCCTGGCACAAAGGAGGGAGCCAGAAACATCCCTGCGTGCACAGCTCTGCAGAACACCCTGTCCCCCCAGCACAAAGAAGGGCTCTTTTATCTGCTTAGCCAATCTGTGGTTTCTGAGCACATCTTAACCACATTAATGCATTAAAATATAGCTCCCATTAACCACCCAAATCATTTCCATCAGAATCATAAGCATTTCTATTGTCATGGCTTTGGGTTAGTGATGCTGGTCAAACTTCAATAGAGATGTAATCATTCTAGCCTATAATCCAACACTTCTCTTGAATATCTCATCTTATTTTCCTTTCTACCCAGTGGACAAAGTCACGTTGCTTTCTCCTGGCCTGTACTGAGCTTCTGACACTGCTCTTGCAGTGTTTTTCATTCACGTGTGCTTCTCAGGCTGACGTTTCCCTTGCTTGTATTCCTCCAAGGTCTCCAGCGCTTGCTGTGCTGACATTTTTGCCAGTAGGAACACTATAAATGCCTGATCCAGGTTTTCTGTCCCGTATTTCATGTGCAGCTCTGAAGGAGCCACCAGCTTGCTGGGACTTTCCAGCTGCCCTTCTCAAGTGGTTCTCCTGCAAGAAGGATCTCATCCAGCTCCCATGGCAGCAAAAGAAGCAGCCAGAGACCACGAGAGAAGAGGGGGCTCTGGATCTCAAACTGCTGCTGGAGGAACCTGCACGGACATTGGTCCCCATGGGCATGGTGCTGAGCTCAGGGAGCTGTGACCCTTCTTCTGCTGCATTCAAATTTAGGGTCTCCCTTTCCAGGTCCTGAGGCTGGTCCAGGTCTGGAAGGCTGGGGTTGGAGGATGCTCTGCAGCAGTGTCTGAAGGAGGGTACTCAACAGGGAGAGCCCAGCACTTGGTTCTACAGCACGGCCCAAATCCATGCCTCAGTTTCCCCTACTATCAGGAGGCTCAGCAGCCTGAAAGCAATAGTTTCCAATGGCAAAAATGCCCCTAAGCCCCACTTATCTCAATTGCTGAGCAGACAGGCTGTCCAATGGGATCTGAGGGTGCTCTGCTTGCATCACTGATCTTTAGATCTCCTCCAAACTGGAAAAATACAACCCTCTGAAAATTTCATGAAGGTGGTGGAGGGCTGCCTGTCTCGCACTGCCACATGCTTTTGAAAGCTATTTAACTGTGGCTGTGGTGAAAAATGTCAGCAGAAGATGTGAGCTGGGGAAGGGCAGTGAGCAAGAAGGCGTTAGAATTAAAGGATGAATTATTTATTGGGGGTTTGGCAGTTCTGGAAGGATGACACATCGCATATGAGAGGCATCTTGGGTGGACGGCCACAAATTCACCCACTGGGCTATAAAATGAAATGTGATTTCCTCTCCCTCCCTACCTCCCACCCCTTCCAGTATCATCAGAGAAGGTTGAAACTCCAGCCCTGGCCCAAAGCTGTGGACAACCAGCCAGAAATGCAGTGTCTGAGCCAGGATGGAGGGATGGGAATGATGCTCCCAGCCTGGCTTTAAATTCAAGCCATAAACCCTCTGACTGATGCGCAGTGCATGGTGCCTGTGGCATTGGAGGAGGAACTGGGATGTTTGCCCAGGGTGGCCTGAATGAATGTGGGCTGAAAGCTGAGTTCCTCCCAGGAGGGCCACAACGCTGAGCTTTCCTCTCCCTCCCTCCGTTTGGGCTCCAGACAGGCTCTGCCTCAATTTTCTCCAATAGATGCCTGGCTGACATCAAGGGTTAATGCAGGATTACCTCTAGAGTCTACAACCTTGTCAAGAGCACAGGAGACAGCGATTGGCAGGTCATTAATCTCAGAACTACTCGATACTTTCAAACACAATCATGTAATCAGCAGGAACCCGTAATTATTATTTATGTGCATGGTGCTTACCAAATTACAGCGCTCTCCAAGGCTCAGTGTGATGAGGGAATTAATTCTGCAGTGGAAGAGCTTGACCAGAAAGAGATGTTTGTGTCTGAATTTCCCTAGTAAACATTGATGTATGAAATGAAATTCAGGTTTAATTGCACAGGATTTTTTTTTTTTTTAATTCTGTCTTAGCTTTGCTGTGAGAGAGAGCACCAGATGCCATGTGGAAAAATTGGAGGGGCAACTGTTTTTTCTAGCCTTGGTGGTAATTGTGTGGTGGGAGACCCACAGGGGTGTTCCTCATCTTCCTCAGCGGGATGGGGCCGGTACCTTCATGGAGAACCTATATCCCCCCTCCACCCTCTGGGCAGGGGGCCCTGAGGCAGGGAGGCCACAAGAAGCAGCTGGGAAGTGGGGAGGGGCCATGCTGGGGGTGCCTTCTCCCCAAAATAAAGATGCCCCAAAAGCCCTTGAGAGAGGAATCAAAGTCATTTTAATCAGACAAGGCTGAGCACACACACACCTCTCCAACAATGGAAAGCAAAGTCACATCAGTCAGAGCCGACCACCAAGAGAAGGGAAAAAACAGAGATACAAACACAGATGTTTTTGTTTGGGTTTCTTTCCTTTCCTTTTTTTTTTTTTTTTAATTTTTTTTCCTTTTTTCCCCCCTCTTTTTTTTTTTTTTTTTCCAATTTACAGCTTCTTTCCCACCAAAAGTGACTCTGCTTTAGAAACATCCAAACTGCACCAGCAGCTCATCGCTTTCTGGTAACACCTCTTGTATGTACAATGGAAAAGCTCCCTGGGGAGGGTTCCCCCTTCTCCACAGCCAGCAGATCTCCAGCAGTGCCCACCAAAGCACCCAACAGAGCTCAAAGCAACCCAGGGGGCCAGAGCAAGCCCCTTCCTTGCAGGATGTCAGCCTCTGTGCCTCCGCCACCGGATGGGAGCCTGGGATCAGCTCTAGGTGTGCCTCAAGGAGGGCGTACCTCCACTCTTTCCTCAGGGTTTACACCATTCTGCAAATCTCCCCTTATGGGAATAAAGCTGGGACCTGCTGTTTTTCCCATTGATTGCTCCAGGGGTCTTTTTCTCATCCGTACATGGGATAAGGGGCAGTCTCTGGGGCTGCTGGTGATGGAGGAATGTGCAAGGAGCAGAACCTGCCCCACGTGCAGGGAATGGTCTGTGATGTGGTCACTGGGTTGTACGGGGAGCTTGTATGGCATTTCTGGTTTTGGCTGCACGGTAGACATGCAGGTGGGAAATCTCAGACAGAAACGGGAGGGATTTGCTTCAAATGGTTGAATTTTGCAAATGTTTAAAGAAAGAACCTGGAGGTTTTAGCCTGTGCCTGACTTCAGAGAAAAAAAATGAGATTTTATTCCTTTTGATGGTGCACCCTGAGGAAACCAGAATACTGTAATGCCAAAATTACTTAAACCTTCCCAGGAAGGAAAACACTTATGCCTCTTCTTTATAATGGGGAAACTGAGGCACAAATGTGTGAAGTGTTTCTGGCAGACCCTGCAGGACGTTGGAGGCAAAATCCCTGGGGTGCAGCAAGCAGCCTCAACCCCCCCCAGAAGCATCCTTCTGTCTGAGCATCCCTGGCCCTGCACGGAGAGGGAAAACAGCTCTGAGGAGCTCAGAGCCAAAACCTCCCACTGCACACGGAGCTGGTTGGTGTGACCACACCACACGGGGCACTGGGGATGGATCAAGGACGTGGCAGGGCCCAGGAGCCGGCATGGGGATGGAGGCAGCCGCTCCTCCAAGGCACTTAACCCCAGCACGGGAAGGATTCGGCCCTGGGCCCTGCACGAGGGCAGGGAGCAGCTTTGGCACAGAGCTGACGGTGAGGGTGGAAGCGAGGCAGGGAGGAGGAGAGCAGGGCAGAGACATGCACGTCCCTGGGGGGCTGCCAGAGGGGACCTGAGCCACTGCTCAGTGACTGCGCTGAGGTCCAGGAGCAAAGCCCTGGAGACCCACCAAGGTGGAGCACAGGATTAACTCCATCTCCTGCCTCTCTGCCCTCTCCCACCCAGGTTCTGCCTTGCATCCTCAGCGTCAAGACGAGCAACAACCTGGCTGGGACTTGGTGAGGGACTCGGGGGACTCCAATAACCCCGGTGGTTTAAAAACACAGCTGCATATAGCAAAGTCTGCAATCAGCCCTGGGCTCTCCATCCTCTCCAACGACCCAGAGGCTTTTGCCTCCCCTGAGCAGCATCCCAAGCCAAGGGGTTAACCCCATCAGCTGTCCCTAGGGGGTCCCTGTGTCCTGACACCTCAGTGACAAACATGAGGCAGAGATGGGACAGGCAGCATCGTGCCTGGGATGGATGCAGGCAGGACGGCCGTGCAACCCCTCTGGACTCCTCCTGCCACCCCAGCAGGTTGCACTGCAGCCGTGGTGATGACAAAGCAGCATCTTGGCTGTCCCATCCTACAGCTTCATCCTGGCAAGCAGGACAGGAGCTTCCGTAGGGTTTCCCACAGCTGCAGTGAGTTTGTGCACCCTGCTCCCACGTCGTGCCGGGGAACCCACGCAGGGGGGGACACGGGGATGCCGTCGCCTTGGGCAGCTGGCTCCCCGCTCATCAGACGGCCGTGGACTGCTTGATGCTGTGGAAGCTGACACGGGTCGGGGAGGTGGGGATGGACATGGCACGAGCCACACGGGCGCGGATGGAGTGCTTGTCCTGCCATCGGTGCCACCGCTTCCGCACCGCCGATCGCACCTGGAGGTGACACAGAGGGGACATTTAGGAACCAAAAGCCTGCAAGCACTGAGCTATGGACACTGTGAAAGGGTTATCTGCACCCCCACTTGCAAAAAGCGGTGGAAATTGGGGGTGTTGTGCTATTTTTCCCTGTGGGGAAACTGAGGCACAGAAATGTCTCATCCTAACAAGTGGTAGGTGCGGGAAGCAAATCCTGCTTTTAAGTTAGGCTGTGTTGGAGGTCAGATCCCAAGAGCAGTTTAACCCCTTCCTCTGTCAAACCATGAAAAAGCAGGGTGGTCTTTCCCCCATGGCAAAGGTGAGCCCAGGGCACAGAGCCTGGTCCTGCTGGCACCCAGACATCCCATTCCCCCTCCTCTTTTCTGGTCTCACTACTCAGGTCCAGCATCAAACTGGGCTCCAAAGCTGTTCCGAGGCACCAGCTATCCTCGTGGTTGCTGTGACAGGCCAGTAGCGATGTGAGTGACAGCTGGGGATGTTTATGGCTTCTCTGGTCTGCACTAGTGGCATTTCTTCAGCATCCGTCTTGGCTGACAGCTGCCCAAGTGCTTTGCATGGCAGATGAATATTGAAGAAATGCCTTTTCATCGACAGCGGCTGAGACAAACACCAAAATCCCCAGCCAGCCCAGCTGGGACTGAGGGATGGAGATCATTGAAGGACCATGAGCTGCATGGCACGAGGTGCTCCTGATCCACCAGCAAGCTCTGGCATAATTCCTTTTCCTCCTACATCAACAATTCCTATGGTATATATATATGTATATTGTATATTAATACTGCTATTGTACTGCATTAGTGAGTTACTTAGCACAGCTGAGCCTGTTATGTCAGGATGCTGCCAGCTGCCTTTTATTCCTGAAAAGAATTTTGTAAAAGAGAGGGGTCTGCATCATCTCTGGAGCTTTAAAATGCTTTTTATGTTGCCAGTCCCTGGGGCTTTGCTGGTTGCCTTCCTGCTCAGCTGCTGTATCACAGCCAGCAAAGGTGTGAGAGCATTTAGGAGGAGGAGGAATGGATCAGTCCCAGGATCGGCCCTTGCTCTCACCTCCTTTGCTTGCTGGTGTGTTTTGGATCAGAACCTGAGAGGTGTCATGAGTGTGTACAAAGGGATGGGGGCTCTGGACCCTTCTGATGCATCAAATTGCATGGATGCACCCCCGGAACATTTACTCTCAGGGGTGGATTTTCCTCCTCCAATTAGGAGGAAACAATGGGAAACATATTTTTCTGAGATACGGTCCATTTGGGCTGACACTTCTCCCCAAGAGCCTTGCCTTTCTTGCTGCATATGAAAGATGCAACAAAATTTCTCAGTTTCTCATATTTTTGGAGGCTGAGCATCCCTACTAAACCCAACCCAGTGACCAAACAAGCCACAATGAATGTGAAGCCTGTGGGGAATAATTTTTAAAGGCTGGGGACAGTTGTCCACACTGCCAAGCCCTGGAAGCTGTCAGCTGTGTTTGATTTGGATGGGGCACTCATGGGCTATTCTCACCAAAAAAGAAAAAAAAAAAGGAGCTGGAACCATATATTCAATTTCCCATGAAAAACAACTCCCATTTCATGCCAGATCCCACTGGCAGGATGAAAAACAGAGCCAGGCAACAACCAGTTTCCCATCTAGGTACAACCTGTGCATGTGCCTGTAGCTGGAGGTACCGGCCTGACTCTGCAAACACCTTCAGTTGGGGACCTAGGTGCCTGTGCAGGGGCAGAGCCTCAGGCTGAGCCTACGTCCTCTCATAGGGATGGGCACAAACACCCCAAGCACCCCCAGTGCTCACCTCGCTGTTCAGGAAGCAGTAGAAGACGGAGACGAAGAAACCCTGGAAGGAGACAAACGTTAGAGTCATGGCAGAGCTACCCCGAGGCTGAGTGGCTTTGGAACAACCCCAAGGTTTGGGGAGGTCAGTGTTTCTGATGGAGCAGGGTGAGACATAAGTCACACCTTGTGCTCCTCCACAGCCCTTGGTGGGGGCCTGGGATGGGGACCAAAGCTGAGGACCTTACCTGGAAGGACTCCAGGAAGGAGTTGAAGTAGATAAAGACAATCCTGGAGATCTCATCCTCCCCCGGGTTGACGAAGAACAGCATGTAGGTGATTCCCAGCAAGGGCAGCAGCACCAGTGTGGCTTTGACAGCTTTTCTGGGGGAGAAACCACTGAGCTGAGCCACCAGCACATGGCCCTGGGCACGGGGACTGGCCCCAGCCTGCTCCCAGCACCAGCATCACTGGGACTGGTGGGGCTGGGTCTGGACCAACCAGTGGCAAGGGGAGGAGAGAGCAGAGTTGGGCTGTTTCCCAACGTAATCCCCAAATGATTGGGCTGGTTTGTGCAGCAGGCACCTTCTTTGGTTTCTCCATCCAGGACGGGTGGTGGATAGCAGGTGGGTAAATGAGACCCGACCTTCAGCTGCTGTGACATGACTGCCTGGCTGATCTAGGGCTCGGTTAAAAGGGAATTAAGGAGGGTAAGATAATTCAAACCTATCAAGACGGGTTTATGAAAAACTTATCTCAGCTAATTAATTTGATATCTTTTCTTGATGAGATTACAAGTGCTGTTTGTGAAAAGTGATTGTGCTGATGCAAGAGAGCACAGGAAGGGTAGGGGCTCAGTATCTCATTCATTTTGATTAGGGAATGACAACAGTGCCAAGCTGACATTTTTTTTTTCTTTCTTAAAAATTCTGTTAACAGACAGATTCCAACAGCAGCTTAATGCACAAAATGTCATCCCTGATGGGTCTGGGTAGGATGGGACCTACAGCAGAGCCCCAGCCACCGATGCAAACTGGCAGATGGCACAGAAGAGCTGGCAATAACTGAGGACAGAGGGGGCTTCAGCTGGCAAACTGGAGCATAACAAAAAAAGAAACAGGAATTTGAGATTAAAAATAAAGGACATAACCTGCTCTGATATAGCTTTCCCAGGGCAACAGTCACAGCAGTGGAGTATCCATCTGCTTTTACCAAAAGCCATCGTATAACGTGAGCAGGAGCCCTCCAGGCTCTGGTTTAAGCAGGACTGCACAGTTTATACCCACTCAAGCTGTCCAAGTTCTCCTGTCCCACAAAATGTTTCTGGGAAATGGAGATGTTCCTCTGCCCCAGGGTGAAAAATCTTCCCTGCCAAAAGCAGGAAAATGCTGGAAAAAAAATTCTCTCAGAATTGCTGCCTGAGGCAAACCAGCCTATTTCAATAGTCTTCAACTTTGTTCACCCCAGAGCTCAATACTCTGCGACAAGGAAAGCTGGCATCTTCTAGTGACAGCATGTGAATTTTTTCCATTTTTAGCTGAAAAAAGCCACCCTCGACTCCAAACCTACTTCTCTGAACTCAGTGAGATTCACTGATCCCTGCTCAGAAAACAATCTGGTGAAGCACGGTCAAAGTCCAAGGTTTCTTCTCCTCTTCCAGGTGCTCCAGAGCTGCTCTGACCGTGTGCCTCCAAGCTGCCTGTGACATGTTCTGCAGCAGGGAATGGTTAAATCTTCCTGCTGCGTGCTGCCTTCCTGTGGCTCCATGAGCAGATTTTGGGGTGGCCTCAATTCGTTGCTCCTTCATCACCCTTTGCTTCGTGGCAATGCAATTCTCACTTCCATGCCAGGATTTGCATCCCTGACCCCAACAAGCTGATTGGGTCCCCCCAGCAGATGTTTTTGGAAAAGGGCTCAGCTCCCTCCAAAGGCTGATCCAGCTGTCCTCCACCAGGATTCTCAAATGACCATGGAAGCAATGGCCATGTCTCTTCAGAAAGCATCTGAGGTGTTCTTAGATGTCTGCATAGTCCCATCCCCTTGCTGCATGGCTACTGGGGCTGTTCCTGTCCCCCCTCAGTCCTGCCAATACTGTTTCTAGTTCTTCTTTCTGCTTAGTTGCCTTCTCTCCCTCCATGCTCTTACCTGTACTGGATTGTCTCTGATGTGGTTGAGGCTCGGAGCTTCGTCATGAGAATCCGGACGATGTTGAACAGAAAGATGAAGTTGATCTGGAAGGAAGAGGGAAGCTGGTTAGTGTCGGCTCCCCCTGTTCTCTTCTATTTCCACAGCAGAGGAAATGGGCTGTGCCAGGGGAACTGGGAACATCTCTTGAGCCTGAACCAAGCCTGGGCAGCTAAAAAAGCAAGCAGCAGTTGGTATGGTACACGTGGACCTGCTTCTCACTATGACCTGCACTGCCTTCCTTGCACAGGGGCAGGACATCTGCATTTAACATGTTTAAAGCATGTTTCCAATAAGATTTAGGAGTTTACTCAGAGGAGCAGGGGCAGAAGGGCACCCCAGAAGATGAGTGAGGGAAGGGTGGGAGAAAAAGGAAAGTGGGGACGAAGATGATAAGGCTGACAAAAAGATTTGGGGAGGCTGGCTGCCATCACAGCAGGGAGCAGATCTCCTGGCTGCTGATCCACTAATGAGAGCAGGGCTGGCAGAGCTGGGGGCTGAGCGCAATTGGCACAGATCAGAGGTGGCCCAGCTACCTGACGGGCTGGGAAATGAGAAGCAGTCTTGATTATTCAGGGACGTGGAGGGGAGGCTGCTTGGTGTTGGTGATTAATGGCCTCTCAGGTTTTCTCAGCATTGGGCAGGGAGGGAAAAAAAAAAAAAAAAAAAAAAGCTGTGCTTGGTTCTGGACCTGTTAGTCAAATGCCTTGCACTGTTACTTGTGACCTGCCAGCCCTGCTCCTTTTTGTCCCTTCCAGGAAAAGGGAAGCCCGAGGGGGTTATATGACCTCTGGTTCAAGCATTGCTGCTCAGCCAGCAGCAAATCGATGTAGATCAAGGCATGAGGATGAGGTCCCCAGGCAGCTCCTGATGCTTGGCAAAGCACCAATGTGCACCCAAACAGTGCCCAGGCAGAGACTCACTGATGCCTGTGGGATTTTGCTGATGGGAGCATCCCTGTTAGAGCAAGGTCTCCAGACTACCCTCCTAGCCTATCCTAAGTCGTCAGGATCTACACACATGGACTCTCATCTTGGGCTAGGTGCCCAAATTTGCTCAAGGTCCAGTGTGGGTGGGAGGACCCAATATTTGCAAACAAGGTCACTTTGCTCTTACCAGAAGCACCAGGATCATGGGACCTTGGTAGATATAATCAGTGTAAACTCCTGCTCGCTTCCCAAACCAGCACCTGCAAGGCAAGGACAGGCAGTGTTGGGGACATGTGGTGTTAGGGACAAGAGGTGTTAGGGACAAGCCTGCAGCATGAGCGACCTGGATTTACTCTTGCCCTTACATTATGTCTGTAGGTCGCTGTCCATAGGGTGAAGGCACAAAGACTTAATTTGCTGTAGCAGTGAGTAGCTGCTATAGAATAGCTTCTCCGAAATCCCCCATGTATGGGGTCTTTATGGGAACTCATTATTTTGGGGCATGGAAGGACAACATGACACACACAGGACTAGGGTGGCTCTGTCCCCAGCAGACCCCACAGGAGCTCATGCAGGTATCAGTGTCCTGAGAGTTGGGTTCTTTTAAATTGGTGCTTCTCCAGTGTCTAACAGGGCTGCTGAAGCCAGGGGGCAAAACCAGCAGTGCAAAACAAGGCGAGCTGCCACTCATCTGAGCGGGCTCCTTTTAGCTCCACCATCCCCGTGATGAACTCATCAGGTTCCTGTTAAGTCCTCCATTAACAAGTCTCTGTGAAAATGGCTCAGGTGGTGGTAGTTTATGTCTCTACTGGTAGATTAAATCCCAGCTCCATTTAGCAAACACTTTGTAGGAGCTCTGTCTTAATCTAGCCTTTTGCCCCTTTAAAAATCTCATTTGCAGTTTGAAGGAAAAAATGCAGCAGCAGGCAGGGCTCGTGTCACAAAGAGCCTAGAGGTGGGATAAAAGAAAGAATGGAAGAATATCATTTTTCCTCCCACCCTTTCCGTGTACCCTGCCTCCTATGAGCCCTTGCAGGTGGGATCTGTGCCCGCTTGGTGCACAGCTCCTGGCATGACCGACAGACAGGGAATTGGGGTAGAGGGCAGGCAGGGAGCAGTGATGCTCACTTCTCGTCGTCGTAGTACAGCTTCCCGATGGCCCAGGCGACGATGATGGGAAAAGGAATACCTGTGGATGAACACACAGATGGGTCTCAGGGGTGTGATATCACAACCAGGCTATGCTATAACAGTGATTTTCTTGCAGAGGGCGAGCTGATACAGGCACGCAACTCCCATCCTCCTGCTCCTGGAAGCCTTTTCGCAGCTATTTAGGTGGAAGAGGAGCAGGAGCAGAGGATGGGGGTGGGCACCACCCACTGGGCGAAGGGGAAGCGCTGGTACTTACACCAGCCGATGCAGATGAACATCCACTTGCGGAGCTTGTCGGTGGAGTAGGTGAGCACAATAGCCGTGTGCAGGTAGCAGCCCTCGCCGAACATCCAGAAGAAGTTGGTGACGTGGAAGTAATTGTAGGCGGCAGTGACCACGCGGCACCACGCCTGCCGAAGGGGTTAGGAGGTGACACAGGGTGAAGAGCAGAGCTACTTCAGAGACAATAAACTGGTCACCTCCCATGGAGCATTGTTGTTCCCACTGGGCCATGCCCCAAACAGACCATGACAATTTTTTCCATGCTGCCACAGTAAAAGGCAAGAGTATGGGTGTGTTACAGTGGGGAGACCGAGGCACACAGCGACACAGACCTCAGCACAGCAATTGAACCTGGCTTTCCCATAGACTTTCATTGTCCTTCAGCCACCAAGCAACCCTATCTGACCTCCCAAGATGCTTTTTTTGGCCTTGTCTCTGGGATCCTTGAGCTCCCCACATACCCCAGGGCTGGGCTGCACCTACCCCGTTGCTTTCTTGCACCTCTGGGTTCATCGTGAACTGCACCACGAACCACGTGGCGTTGCGTAGGATGAAGGCTGTGATCAGGTTCCAGTGGATGATGTTCCTCAGGCACCGAATGCTCCTGCAGACAGGGGGAGAAAGCACCATCAGAATAATGGTGAGGGTCTGGGGACTGACCCCATTTGGGCTGCAGGGGAGAACAGGGCCATATGTGGCACTGAAGATAGGCACGATCTCTCCAGAGGAGAGAGAAATAGCCATGGGGGGGGACATGGCAAAACAAAGGGGTTCCAGGTCTGTCCCCATCCCAAGGGCTGTGGGGTGACCTCTCTGGGCTCATGCCCCTGCCAGGAGCAGGGCAGCAGGTCAGGTCTCTCACCGCAGGCGCATGAAGAGGACGAAGGCCACAAGGAGGGCCCCGAGGGAGACGCAGTGTCCCAGGTAGTTGATGATGACAGCGACGTGATAGTGCAGCTTGCTTTTCTTCTGGGGAGGGGGAAAGGAGACAGGGAAGGGGTCAGCAGAAACCCCAGCACCCCACAATCCCCCTTCCTCCACCATGTCACCTCCCAGAGCTGCTCTGCAGACGTGGGGACCCCTTTCAGAAGCCCACTGGAGCCCACCTAGTACAGGATGGAGGAGAAGAGGCTGGAAGGCACCAGGGTTGGTCAGATGGGGCTAATTTGGACCAGAAATGCACAAACCTGGCCACGCAATGGGCTCAGGCATTTCACATCCTACCCACACTGGGACAGCTCAGGATTGCTGCTCCTATAGCAGCCCTGCTCAGCACTGGGGCATCCCTGAGCCATCATCTGGGGAAATCCTGCTGTAATTCATCTGAGCTCTCCGGCAACATGACATCTGATGTCTCAGTTCATTCCCCTTAGCCCTAGGGGCAGCTGAGAGGCTGGGCTGAATGTGGGCAAAGGGAGCAAGGGATCACAGGAAGGCATGAGTGATAATTAAATTAATTGATTGCTCCTGCTGTTAGGCACTCATCCAACCTGTGAATTAGCAATTAACTGAGTGAGAAAACCATTCCTGGCAAGAGATATCAGCATCCCAAATACCAGAGGTGCTTATCAACTGCAAATGAACAGCCTGTATCTCTTCTCCTCTGCTCTGAGGGGTGCCTTGACCTACTCAGGGCCTTGTAATTCATGGTACCCATTTTTCATCCCTCTCAGTTTCCTAAATATCTCCTTTATTACATTGTCAGCAGGGAGGGATGAGGTTTGCACTGTGTTCTTGTACTGGGAAGGAGCTGGAGAAGCAGAGGAGGGTAATGGGGCTGGAGGACATGCCAATCTGCACCGAGCAGCCCAGGACGAGGACACCCCACACTGCAAACCCTCTTGGCTTAACATGAAAGGAACCAAGAATGGTAAAATTTTCCCTAAGGAATGAAAATGTGCACCAAGAACAGGGTCACGTATGCTGCATGCACACTTGTACACTTGGCTGCTGGTGTACACCCAGCTCCACAAATCCCTTGGGCCATTCCTGACCTGGGTGCTGGTGCCCTTCAAAATTCCAACATCCATCCCTCACCCTCCTGTCCAGAGCATAAGGGACCACCAAGCTCCTACCTCCTCACTGAGGATCTCCTGGCACTGGGAGTAGTTAACCCGTGCAGCCCAGCTCCCGTTAGCGAGGCACTCCCTGTAGCCATTGTCTGAAAGAGAGGGTGCACAGAGAGGGGTAACAGCACCTGGAGATGGGCACAAACCCCAAACATGCAGATGCGACCTGATTGTCATCACTAATGTGGGGTCTCTGTTTTCACGCCTGTGGTGTCTTTTCCTTTGAAGCCAGCTCAGATGCTGCCTCAGTTGAGACCACAGGATCAAACTCCCCAGGTGCTACCACTGTTCTATAAAGCTTTACAGATAGGAAACAAGGAGGCTTTTCTTTTTTTTTTTTTTTTTTTTTTTTTTTTTCCTTCTTCCCAGAAAGAGCAAGGCCTGGGGAAGTGCTTTCAAGAAGATCTGTCCCTTGGGATGATTCCCCAAGCCGTCCAAATCACTCGTGGTCTGAAAATATGGTGCATTAAGATCTGAAAGCCCATCCTGGTGTTTCCAGACCTGGACAGAATTGCTTTTGGAAAAGCCTCTTTCTACTCCCTACGCAACCTGGAAATCAGAGGCAATTACAACTTAATGGGAACATTTCAGTCCCACTCAAGGGCTTTGGGTCTGCACCAGCACTGTCCCTCAGTGCTGGGATACCCCGATGCCTCCCACCACTGAGATGCAGCAGGAGCAGCACAAAAACAACGCCTCTGTTTGTTCCAGCAATCACCGACCGTCCAGTGAGTGCTGCTGCAGAGGCAGCATGAAGTTTGCTCTCCCCTCTCCATGTTAGGAGCTTTCTTCCCCTCCCAGCAAGGATGGCAAGAGGAGGCAAGGCTAATTGGGAAGGCACAGCTCTGACGGCCCCAGAGCAGCCTCCAATTAACATCAGCACCAGGGCGGTGTTGGGCTTCTGCTATTAAAAGGAGAGACCACGAGCCTCATCAGGGCGATATGATGGGACAGGGATGGCTCTTAGGCAGGCATAAGTGCAGATTAATGCAAGGAGACTCCTGCAGCTGCATGAATGGTGCTGCCAAGCAGGAGCCGTATGCATGTGATCTTCTGCAGCGGTGAAAGGGTGTGGGACAGAAAATGTGATGTTTTCTGCATGAAGCAAGATGTTTCTTTCACCAGAAGTAGTATCTGGGTGGACAGAAACTCATCTGTGTGCTAGGAATGGCTCTGGGGGCTTTCCAAGTGCCTTCACTTCATCCCCTGTTCCCAGCACATCGTTGGCAGTGACAGCTCAGTCACCCGTGCTGGGAGATGAGTTGCAAGGTCCCCGTGTCCTTGCTCAGCTGGGGGCTGTAGACCTGTGTTGCACCTCCAACAGCAGGGCAGGCTTCCTCTTCATTCCCTGTCCCCAAGATGGGGACGTCAGCCCTCTTCCCCTTCATGAGTGCATGCCCAGGAGCATCTCCTTATACAATCTCGCTCTCCAAAATTTGAGATGAAGGATTCTTCCCTTTTTGGCTGACACATACCACAGAGCACCTCAACAAGCTCTGCACCCAGGGACATTTTGTCACTTGTGTCTCCGTGTCTCTACCCCCCATCCCTTACCCACCCTGTCCCAGCGGTGCTGCACAGCTTACTTGTGGTGTTGTACCGCACACCGTAGAAATATTCGGGGCAAGGACGAGCCACCAGCTGTCCCACTGCGCTCCGGGGCCAGCACGTGCCAATCAGGTCTACGGAGGCGTTGCACTGGGGCCCTGGTGGGGAGAAGGGTTGAAGGTTAGTGGAGGTCTCCAGGCCATTGAAGGTTCAGGGTTTGCCCAGGGAACTGGGGCTTTGGTCCCAGTTGAGCTGATGGGTTGCTGCAAGCTCAGCTCTGAGGGAAGCTTCAAGGCAGACGCCAAATGCTGTCTGTGCTGAGGCTCCCCAGGGGCTGACTGATCCATCCTTTCTGTATCTATTGCCCAGGTTCTGCCTCAGCACCCAAGTTAAGCCTGGTTCTGCACAAGGCTGCTTTTCTGACCCAGCTTTCCACCTGAGGTCCCCTGCTCTGATCCTCCAGCCTTTCTTCTTTCTTCAGCCATGACTTTGGCATCTGGCCCTGCTACAGCCATATTTTTACTGTCCCTGTGATAACTCCATCCTGGTGCTGGTGGGACACTCCTCAGAGCTCCTTCAAGCCTCTCACATCTCCTGGCTCCAACATCTCCTTCCTGCCCATCCCTGCTGGTCTATTCCTGCCTTTCCCAAGAAGAAAGCTCCAAGTCTGCCGCTGCTATTTCAGATTTCAAGCAGGACTTGTGTGCTTTTCCCAGCTACACAAGTGTGTTAATGTAGACATTAGGTAGGCCAGATTGCAGGCTTTTTTATGTATAATTTGTGTATATTTAGAACAACATGTACTGTAGCTAAATATGTCCTAGCTACATCTCAAAGTGAGGTAGGAGGCACAACGGCTGTGATATCAATACAATGCGATCCCTAGCAGGCAGCAGATGGATGATAGGCAGCAGACCCAGGAAGGGGCAGAGTTCAGTGCAAACCGCTCCTGGGTAATGGAGATGTTTGTGCTGCCAGCACAGAGCCAGACATTGCCATTTGCAAAGGCAAACTCCCCCCAATTTGCAGCTCATCGGGTGTGAGAACAAAGCAGTTTCCTCTCCACTAGGACTTGACACAGAGCAGGTCGCTATTTGGAAGCCTTTCCCAAGACATCTTACGGGTAGAGCTGCGTAAAAAACCAGCAGAACAGAAAAGCAAAGCGTTACTTTATTAGCATGATGAAAGTTCTTGGGGTGGGGAAGTGTAGTATTTTTTTCATCGCTTATCTGAAAAATTGATACCGTTGTTTCTTGGGACACTCTTAGAGCAAATTCTCAGTGTGAAGAAAAGGAAGGTTTGGTTCAGATCTCTTTACAAGAGAAAGACACTTCCAAGTGTGTGAGCTGGGGAAACATCTGAGTGTGCAGAACATTATCTTCTGCCTTCCATAGCTTGTAGGGAGAAATTAATTTTAACAGTGACCTTTGCTTTTAGCTTTCCTAATGTGTATGGTTGCTGTAGCAACCTTTAAGTTAACTGTTCTAAGCCAGTATTTCTTGGGAAAAAAGGTGCATTTAATCACGCATGTAGGGTGCATGTCCGTGCTCATCTGCATCTATTAGCAACTGTTGAGCTCCTTAGGTGTCTGACCTAAACTTGACAGAGAAATAGGGGGGTCATAGGAAATGAAGTCCCTGCTTAAAATTTTATAATACTCATTCAGACAAAGAACTGGTGATTGCTTCTACTAAGGACAAAGTTAAAGTGTGAGTGCTCCCCCCCTCCCCTTCCCCCATTAGCCACTTGGGAATCCACCCGTATACCTGCAGTAGGAAATACTCATTTGGAGTAACCTGGTATGGGAAAATGGGGTTTGCACAATGCTAATGGCAAAAAGTCTCCCTGTGACCTCCAGGGGGCTGAGCACAGCCCCCATTTTAGTCCAGTCTCCCATGCCTCAGTTTCTCTTCTTGCCTCCCAGAGGTTGTGCTGGGGCACAAATGCAGGCTGCTCATGGGGGATAAGCAGCAAGACTCAGCAATTAAAAGTCAGCAGAGCCAGAGGCTGGCAGCAGCACTCTTCCAATTAGTAAAGCAAAACCACTGCAATACCATTAATAACCAAAACCATAAGTTCGTGGAAATGATGTGATGAGGCAAAAAGGCATTGTGCTGTTATAGTTCTGCTCAAGATTGGATGTAATACCTCTATATTTCTCCAAAGCACTTGATTTAATACTGCTTGGCACTCCCATCAGAGCACTGCAACCACCTGCCAGGTGACAAAGACAGCAGATGGGTCTCACATCCCACCACGGTGGGGATGCGGGGTGGACAGAGCCAGCAGAAGGTGGATCAGCATCAGCAGGACCTTATCCCCTCTGTGTACCACAGATCAAGGTTACGGCATGGGTGGGATTTGGGCTTGGGGCTGCAGTGGTGTGAGGCTGTGGAAAGCTCCTGGAACTGCACCTGATGCAGAGCAGGCTTTGCCCCAGTGCTGCTGGAAATGGTATTTGGCAGGTCCATCCAGACAGTTTTGAATCTAGTTTATATTATATGTATTATAATTATATATAATAAATAATAATATAGCTATAATGTTTCACCCACTTTCTGAATCATAGAAATGCTGTGTTGTCCAGCATGTAGGGAGGAAAGTCTCTTGTCGGGGAAGGGTTAAAGTAAACCAGTGAAAGAGAAGAGTGCCGGGAGGGCTGTGATGCCCCCTTTGCCCATCACGACCGTCTGCTCCAGCTGCTCCCCAGAGGCATGCAGCTCCCAGTATTTAGAGCTCTGTTTAGCATGGAAATGCTATGTATCAGTGCTAAATGCTTTCAGATCTGCTTCGTGGCCCATCCTATTTGCAGAGGGATTATTCTCCCAGGTTCTTCAGACACCTGCTCCGGGTTTCTCAGTACTGTTGGCGGTGCAGCCACAGTTTTGGTCTTTGCAGCAAGAAAGGTCAGGGACTTTCCTACGTGCACACAAATCCCCCAGACTTTGCTCCCTCCTACACAGAAACGCAGCATCTGTATCAGGTCCTGCTTTGAGACAGGGAATGTGGCACAGGGGAAGTCATCCAAATCCCTTTTCACCCTATTTCCCTCAGGCTTTTGCAGCTTTGGAACAAAGCAAAGCATTTCCTTTCTCCTGAAAATAAAAATGCCTGTCCAGGGACTTACCCTGAGACAGCTGTAACATAACTGCATCAGGATAACTACAGCAGATTCCCTTCTGTTTCTATAAAAGAGCCTTCCCCAGCCTTCCTCCACAACTCAAACTCCTGAGATGGCTCCAGGCTAAAGCCACACAGACATACAAAGCCTGGCAGGGCAAAGTGCCCTGGCCCCATCTGATCCACCAGAAGATTTGGAACAAAATTAAAGAGGACAGAGCAAGCCTGTCCTGTGCCAGCACCACCAGACGCGTGGCTGCAGTGCCGTCAAGCTGGTGCCAGGAGGCCTGGGACATGATTGCACCACCAAACCCTTACTAGAATGGCATGAAGAGGGCTAAAGCAAAAGTTGTGCTGATGCAGCAGTGTCAATAAACACAGCCCCAGCTCACACCCCAGTAAAGCTTCGCAGCCACACAGCATTGCAGTTTGTTTCTGCATTCCCAGCAAGTTACAGCTGCTTGGAGGAAAAGCCTCTCTGCCTCCGCACAATGCAAAAGGGGCAAGGAGACACAACAGAAAACTGAATCATAGACTCACTCCGTGCTGAGAGTGATACAGTTATTCATCTCAGGTGTCCCAGGTGGCTGAGTAAGAGCTGAGATGTGTTAGCTCATATCTCTACCCGTCTGGAGATCTTACTCAACCACAATCATCTCTGCCCACCCCGACGGCCTCAGTGACCACTTCTCAAGCGGGCTGACATCCTCTGCTTTGGCAATCACTTCTGAGGGCCTTTATTTAATAATCAGGGCTTAACCTCCATGTCTAACCAAAATACACTCACTGCAGGCAGCACCTGGAGGGCAGACCCACACTGTGAAAAAAATGTATGCCCCCAGACAGCTCTACCATGCTGGTAGAGCAGAAGGAGCCACTCTATATCTTATTACCCCTACATAACGGCTTTGGTGGGGATGCTCTTATTTAAAGGCTCTGATGTGCTCAGGAGGGGTAGGTGCTGAATGTTTATGAGGAACACCTGGAGGCACCGAGGGGCAATTTACATCAATATGGGGCTGAAATTGGGGTTCTGGAGCTATTTGCTTTCCCTCTGAGTTGAGGATGGATACCCAGCATGTCTGGGAACACTGTGGTTGTCTCAAAATACCCCAATTGTTGCTCACACCCTACATCCAGCACTGCTTTAGTCGTATTCTGACTATTTATTTCTGTAAGAGCCCAGACCTTAGAAAAATCTCCAGCAATCTTCCCAAGCATTCAAGTTTCATGATCCTCAAAGAAAAATAATTACACAGGCTAATTAAGCATTATGATAGCAAAGTGTCTTCGTAATGAATTTTCAGCTTGTTGCTATTCACCATTGTTGGCTGCCCCCTGAGGTCTTTGCTGCTGTTCTGGAGAAGGATAAACAGGAGGGACCACGCCTAGCTTCTGCCATCGATGGGATGCATCTGTGCGATGCTGTCAGCTGAGACTGACCCACATCAAGCTTATGTGAATCATATATATGTATTGTGTATATAATGTGGTAGATTGGGGTCGTATCTTTGTACAGAATATGTAGTGTAGTGGGTTGGTTTGGGGCAGATCTTGTTTTGATCCGCCCCATGGTGTGATCAGGGTTGTGTCATAGCCAAGGGCAGCAGCCAGTGGTTTATTCCCTGGTCTCGCCTGGGCTTTGCTGGTGGGTGAGCAAAGGATTGCAATCCCTTGCTGACAGAGGTTTCCTCTCTGATTTGGCTACAATGGAATGGAGCAGCTGGCAAGGATTTTACTGCATTCAGTCCAAAGTGCAGTTTAACTGGTGTAGCTGCCGCTGAGACGTGCCAGCATGCTGCTTCCTACCAGAAAACCTCAAATCATCACTGTCTTCCCTCTTCCACTACAACAAAACCTATGAATAAAAGCAAGTTTCTATTGACATCCCTGTTTCCCAGATGATGGAGCAGAATGGCTTTATCAATACCAGCATACACTTTAAACACCCTGATTTTTTTCATATAGGTGAGTTCAAAATTTTCAGCTCCCAAGCCTATCACTGCAATCCCTTGGTGCTAAGCCCCTGCCAGGACTCCCTGCTGCCTCTTTAGCCCTTTTATTAGTATTTCTGCATCAGTGGGAGAGATGCCAACGAGGCTGAAGGGAAGAGAGGCAGTGATGTTGTTAATTTGACCTTTATGAATTTAAATTCCAGTCTCTTCCCCGGAGGAGTCAGAGAGTGAATGAAAGAGCCGCGGCTCGGGCAGGGACGGCTGTCGTGGTGTCAGTGGTGTGGGGCTGGAGCGGGTGGGAAGGCTCCTGGTCAAAATGTCACCTGCTGCAAAATGTGTCTCCAGACCTGTCCAGAAAAGCACATGTGAAGGAAATGCTCGCATTGCTTGCTGCTCTCCCATGCCTCTCAGCCACCAGTTTTTGCTGCATCTGGACCAGCTCAATTTGCTTTATTTAAATGCTTCCTTCTGCCCTTGAAAAAGGCTCATTTAAAAAACAAACAAACATTTTTATTCATTTCTGCCTTTGGTGTCATTTTCCTTTGCTTTAGTTGAACATGCACTGGCCCAAAGCACTTCTTTCCTGGGAAGAAATCAGCTGTGCTCCATGCTCACTCCTGGGCACACACATGAGATTGAGGATAACAATTTATTGTGATAACAATTTATTGTGATAACAATTTAACGGCTTAAAGTGGTAAATCATGCAGCCGGGAGCAGCCAGAGCTATTAGCAATTGGGTGCCAGCTCCTTGGGCTGATCCAAGCTTGAATGTTATGAAAAGCAAAATAACCCTGGGAGCACTCGCTTTGCTCGAGTGCTTTCTGCTGGGCTGCTTTGGAAAAGCGTTATCTATTAATTAGGAAGAGGCTTTCCCATCTGCTCGGGTTCTTAATTCCTTTCCCCGGAAAAGACCCTGGTGGGAAACTGTCCTGTGACCACAGCGAGATGCTTCATCCCCACGGGTGAAACGACCTCGTCCCTCTGCGAGCCATTTTGTGGCAGGGCAAAGGGAGAAGCAGCTGTGCACAGGCCCTGGGGAGCCAAAATTATCAGGAAGACAGTTTGCTGTTTGCAGTGATCTGGAGGCATGAAGCCCTTGGGATCAGCACCTTCCCACCCTGGACAAGGGATGTTGATCCTCATTATTTCTTTTGATTAATTAAGCCTAACCTGGGAATTTTTTGGCTTCCAGACATCTGGAGGTGTGAGCTGACTTGTTTTTTCTAATACACCTTGTTGATCTCAGGTCCAGCCTGATATAATTTCTGCCTGGAGGAGTAAACAGAAAAGCAGCCTCAGTGACTGGAGCAGCTAACCTACATGCACAGATGCCAACCAGCCAGATTCAGGCCCACCAAGAGGTATTTTCAGTCAGGCTTGAGCCACCACATCTGTGCAGGGCTCTGGATGAGGCTGAATGCCAAGGGACACCACCAGGCGCTGTGGACAGGGATGCTTAGAGGATGACGGACATGAAGCTGGTGAGCATCACCTTGGACCTCTCTGCACCACCCCGCTGGGAGCAGAGACCTTTTCAGCTCGATGCGCATGCTTTGGAGAGTGCCAGCACCCAGCAATAGCACTGCACAGCTGTGCATCCTCATTAAAAAGTGTGAAATTAAGTAATGAAGGGACTGGCAATGGGAGAAGGGGGGAGAGACCAGGCTGGGCTTTTTTTTTTTTTTTGGAGGAGCAACGCTGTGGCGTGGCCCCTCTCTGCATCCAGCTGATGCCCCACTGCTCCACGTGCCTGAGGATCCGTGGGCTCGTGTTGTTAGCACGTGCCATTTCCTGAGGGTTACGCAGACATTAACAAATTAAGTCTCGCGGCCTTGCTGCAATTCTCATTAGCATCATCCTAACAAGTCTCCATGTTAAATAGCCTCGAAACAAAGTTGCCAGTTTTGTAAATATCTCCCCCTCAGAATTGCTGCCTAAATCAGGCAGGGCTTTAAATGGGCCCCAAGGATGAGGGCTGACGCTGAGCTCCACTTACCAAACAACAGACGTAAGCCAATTAGTGTCAGCTCCTGCTCAAAGCCCCCTCCCCGAGCTGGGAGCAACTCTCGCGTGCACCATTCCCATCCCAAATCGATCGAGTTACCCAGGCATGACAGGTCAGATAGTGGAGATTTTGCAAATCTGCAGCCTGGCTTGTTGTGTTCTCCATCCCAGAGTGACGGGGGCTGAGGCGCACTCACTCCTGCACGGCTTTGCACTGGCAAATCCCAACTGAACAAAACCCAGTGCTTGCAAAAAGCAGCACGCGCTGCTTGAAAATGCTCCCCACTCCCATGCTCTCTGCCCCAGGCTCAGGAGGTGACAGCAGCAGATGATGAGGGCTGTGAGATGGGCACGAGGAGGCTCTGGGGGTGCTGCCACCCTAGGCTTGTGCCATGGGCCAGATCCTGCATCATGGGAAGATTTGGAGGTGCTTGGCTGCTGCACCCCACGATGCCGTGGATCAGAGTCAGACACAGGTTGCACCAGGGGGGAGAGTAACAAGAAGAAAAATGCAAAATTTATCACAGCTTAATGTGGACCAAGGACACACTCCTTGCTGAGCAGAGTAATGAAACCTTCAGGGAGCAAAGTCCCTGAGTTATGACTGGGCTTCCCACCTGCACAGCACCCAGGACAGAGACATGAAGGCATTTCCATTTCCACCTTCAGCCTTTCTTTACCCTCAGCTTTCTACCTCCATGTCTCAGGCTGGGGATTCTCCCCAGCACCATGCCTTGGGCTCTGCCAATGGGCCAGGCACAGAATCAGCTGATTGTAAGCTGGAACTGCTTAAAAATAACTTTTTAATCTGCTGCTAATGGGAGCGGTGTGTCAGGGAGCCACCCATCAGACTTTTGTCACCCTAACAGCAAGGGATGCTCTGCTGAGCAGGGACTGGGGCAGGCAGGGCAATTGCTCGGTGCATGCTTTGTCTTCTTTCAACTGTGGGAAAATGAACTCTGTAGCAACCCTGAGCCAGGGAGGGCTTCTTTCCTGGTCCCTGGGAGCTCCTCTCCTCTCCCTCAGCCACTGCTCCTCTCCCTAAATCTGTCAGTAACATAGTGGGGTGTGGACACAGGCGACAAAGGTCCCCAGTTGGTACCAAGGACCACTTTGGCTCCTGGCGTCCTTGGACATGCAGAGAAGGGGCAGCATTGGAGCAGGCACAGGGCAGGTGTCTCTTTGCCTACCTCCCCCCCCAACTCAGCCCCATGCACATTTACTTTCTCTATTTTTAGCTCTCCTGAGCTCTGCATCTTCCACCTGCCTCAACTGACACCCTGGAAAGGTGCTGATGCAGCATTCACCACGGGGCTGCAATGCAGCCTCAGCACATCCCCACCCCCTGAAAAGGAGCTGGATCAGCCCAGAGACCCCCCCCTCACCCCATCGTCCGACTACCTCTGCCCCAGGTGCTCTGAGCAAGGCAAGGGCAGGCTGGGGACACAGGACACTCACCTGTGTGGTTGGTGGCGGGCGGCAGGCTCTCGCAGTACTGCTCTTGGATGGAGGCTGCCACTGGGCTATCCCAGAGGAGAAACTGCCTGTGTGGGGAGAAATCAGATGGCAGCAGGGTTATACACACAATATGCAGCTCCCCCATGCCTTCTTGGATGCGTCAGCAAGTTGGTCAGATCTGAGCTTGCCTATGTCTTGATGGATGTCACCCCAAAATCTGCACTGGTGGACATGCACCAGTCTGTGGGACTGGTTTCCCAGCCTGGGGCTGGGGGACTAATGTTCTCTGCTCTGTTTCCCACCCATTATTCATCTTCTGCCCCAAACATCCTCCCCAGCGACTCATGCTGCAGCCCTGCACAGCCCCCACTAGGCCTCAGAGCTATTTAGCATTTTAACCAACATTTTTAGTTTTAGCATCTTTGCATCCTGAGAGCAGGCAGGGGAAACATGACGAGCCTGACACTGCGCTCAGATTTGCAATACCTTATTAAAATCACAGCCTTGTAAGCTGTCAGTGGGAAGATGCTAATATGCATCCTTAAGGAGACCTGATCCAGTCAATCAGGTCTGGATGAAGTTTTCTTTTAGGAGAAAGGCTTGTCTACAAGCACTGCCATTCCTGCTGTATTGGCAAGCATTGACCAGAAACTATCCCATCAGCAAGAGCTTCTCCAGAACTGCTCCCGAGCAGCTCTGCAGCTCCTCTGGAAGTGAAAACCATTTACTCCATCTGCCTGGGGAGCTGTTTTGAAAAAGCTGCTCCTGAATGATGGTTTCCAGTAGGAATTGCAATGAGCCCTTTGGTCCTGTGTGGCAGGAACACCCTAGAGACTCTGCCAGCAGTGGTTGGATGCAGTGGCAGGCACGGTGGATGACATGGAGACAGCCACATGGACTGCAGGTTGCTGCTCCTTTGGCTTTTGCAGGAGCTTGGGGAAATTAAAGTTGAGGAAAGGGATTGCAAGGGCAAGGCACAGCTGCCTGCTTCCTCCTCCAGCTGAGAGGGATGACCCGGGCTGGTCCCTCTGCTCAGGGGATGGACACCAACAGTGGACGAGGCTGAACCCAGAGCCTTCTTTCTCCATGCCTGATCTCCCTTCCCTGAGTGCTGTTTACCTACAAAACCACCCTGCACATGAAGGACACCGTCCTCCCCATACCCTTTAGCCATACAAACACTGGCTCCTCTTGCTGGCACACCCAGAGATCTCCTGCACCCTACCAAAGCATTAGCGGAATTTATTCAGACGGGGAGACAAGCTTCAGCACCCACTTGCTCTTTTTCCAAACAACTATTTACTGCCTTAGGAAGCTGGTTTTGACAGCAAGAGAGATGTCAGGCAGACACACAAGCGGAGCTGAGAATAGCTTCCTTGTTATGACTGCTCCAGATGGCAGAGGGGATCCGGCAGCAGATCCCTGCCCCAAGCACTGTAAGGGGATCTGAGCACATTCAGTGATGCTCTGGGATCTGTGGGGATGAAGCTAAGCCCAGAGATGAGAGTGCTCGAATTCCAGAGGTGACAAAACCAGGGTGCCATGGGGCCAGATCCCCTCTGCTCGGTGCAAGCTGGATCTGGTGGCTCTTTGCACAGGCAGCTGCGGTTAAAGGTTTCTTCCCCAAAGGGGCTGGGATGGTTTGCCTACCTGAACAGGCCTGCAAGTGTTAATTGGACGTTTTTGTGCTAATCACAGCCTGTTCCAGCCTGGCAGTGCCTGTTCTCCTTGCAGACACAGGGAGAGGTCTTGGCACCGGACTTCAACGTGGACTGAGTTACTGCTGGAGGGGGTGAGGATGGAGAGAGGGAGTGCAGGGTCTGGGCAGGCTTTGTAAGTGAGCTAAAGCTGCAAAATAAAAAAAAAAAAAAAAAAAAAAATCCCCCAAATAAAATGAAACAATCAGTTTTTGTTTTTAAACCAAACTCTGAATGTTGTCTCATGGCAATGTGGCCAAAGCTCACACCAGAGCCTTTTTACCTGCTCCTGTCAGCCGTGCAGCTGGAGGGGATAAGGTAGTGACTCCAGGTGGATTTGCATGAACCAAAAGCATTCTGCCCCTTAGCCTGATGGCCAAGCTCTCTTGTGTGTTTTGTCCCCCGCAGGTTACTTTAACCCCTCCGCAGGCTTTGCAGGAGGAATAGGTCAAAGCTCTGTCCTTGCACAGCTCTGCCTGCCAAAGCATCCCTGCTGTAAGCTGCCACATGGCACCCAGCAGGTCCCAGCCTGGCTGAGATGGAGCCGTGAATGCCCCAGCGTCTCTTTCCCTCTGCCCTCTCTGTCCTGTTTTGACACACGCTGCTGAAAACCATGCTCTGCAGTGAGGAAAACCTCTGCGACCTCTCCCAGGCTGCCAAAATCCCAGAGAGCTTCAGCTGAGCGTTCAGCTGTGCAGGCTAAAACAAGCAGTCTGCTTTTGCAGAAGCAACCACTTTGCACAGAGGTCCTGCTCAGCCAGGGCATTCTCCCACAAGGATGATGCTCTGCCAGGAACTGCGTGGCCCCGTGCTGGCAGCAGCTTCTCCTCCATCTGGAGCCACCCATGGCTCCACCGCTGTCGTCTCAGCAGCCACCCAGCTCCCTCCCAGGCTCTGCTAACATCTCCATTTCACATGTGGAGGCATCTCGGCAGATGCTGAGGACACTTGATTAAGCCTGGAGCTTGCAGAGCATGACTGGGACACCGCAACATGCTGCTGCTCCAGCATTTGCTGTGTGCTGTCCACAGCAAGCACCAGCTGTGGTCAGTGTCCCACCCCCCACATCAAGCTTGGGCCAGAAGGGAAACAGAGGCACACAGGGCATCTTGCTCAGGCTTTGCTGCACCACATAGGGTGGGATGTCCCCATCCCATCCCACCAGCCATGCCCTGAGCTGCTTGATTTTTTTTTTTTTGAAGGTATTCCAGCTCATCAGCACAAGGATGCTCAGGATCTCGCTGCTGATCTGGGTGTGAGCAGCAAACTCGCACGTACACACACGCACATGTGTGTGCACAGAGCATCCGTCTCTCTGACCTGCCACTGACCTAGCAGCAAAATTCAATTAACAACAATTAGGAATTAATGTTCCCCTGCAGTGTTTTCTCTCTCCAAAGCAATCCACAGATATTAATTAATGAATTAACATCTGAGTCAAACGGCACCCCCCCATCCCATATTACTGAGACAGGCTTGTCCTCCCCCCCTTGAGATCTCATTGCCTCAAACAAGATCGGATCTGCATGGCAGGAAGGGCTGACAGCTCCAAGCAGTGAGAGAGATGGCTCATGGCCTAATTAGCAAGCCAAGATGGGGCTTGGGTTTTCCATGGCCAACAGGGCTGTAATTGGAGAGCAGAGTGATTAGCAAGACACGAGCAAGTGGCTTTGCTCAGAGTCGGAGCGGTCAGTGAGACTGATGGATGGTGACAGCATCTGAGACCCCCCCAGTTGTGGGGGGTGGGGGGGGAGTTTGTGAGCAGCAGAAAGCAGCCCCAGTGGTTCAGTCACTGCAGGAAATCCCTCAGGATGAAGGCATCTGGAAGGGGTTTCACGTCCTCCTTTGCGTACCACTCAGGGACAGGACCTAGGCTAGAAGGATCTATCTTTGGAGACACTTTTTATGGCCTCTGCTCCTGGTCAGAGGCACTTAATACCTGGTTTCCAGCAGCTCTGCCCTGCTGGCTCCTTCACCCAAGGACACACTGCCCATGGTTTCTCTCCACAAAATGGGTGCAACACCAGCCACCCTGCTGTGTCCTTTCTGCAGGGACCTTTCACACCTCTTGGTCCATCCCTCCAGCCCAGCTGGGCTTGCTGGCACCCTGTAACACCATTCAACACTTGCCCAAAAGTAAGCATGGAAGAAAGTCCCTCCTGGGACAGTCAGGACATACAGGCTGGGGAAGGGCTGAGCAGTCTCTGTCCTGGACCTGCCTTGAGGACCGATCCTGCTCTTGGACATGAGCCTGCAGGAAAAGGCACCAGACTGGGGGTGCTGAATGCAGTGAGCATGGCAGGAGCTGGATGCCAAGCTTGGATTGCAGAGCAACACCAGCAGGTGTGCAGGGAGGGCACAGGGCAGCCCAACTCGCTGACACCACAGCTGCAAGGCTGGAGGTGGCCTTTGCAAAGCTTCACCCAAAGAGCTGCCCTTAGGCAGCAAGTGGAGGAGGCCACGGTGCCTCCAGCCTGCCCTGTCTCCTGTTTTCACACCTTTGTCCTCAGCTACTTGACTTCAGCTTCTTACCACCTCACCTTAAGGGCTTTCATCCCTTGGAAAAGTCCTAAGCCACAAATGATAACCCCAGAGAGCTCCTGGCCCATGAAAGCCCCCTGTACGACCCCATGCCTTGACAGTCACCTGCTCTGCCATTCCCCGATTTAAGGTTTCTTCGAGCCCCTGCTTTTTGAACTGCTGTTCCTTCTCTTGCTTTTGTGCAAATCCACAACGAGAGCCCTGCGAGCATCAAGGCAAAGCAGCAGATCAAGGCTCAAAGCAAGAACCTGGAGGGATGTACTATAGCTAATGTTACCCGGGGTGGGGGGGGGGGGGGGGAGGAGACAGGGAGCAGACTGCGATAATGCTTCCATCTGGCATTAAAATCTGGGAACATATGAATTTAGCCATGTTAGAGGGCCAGCCTCTGACAGAGGCTTTGGTGTGAACGTTTATTCTGTTTGGAGTCTCTCTCTGAGCATGCTGGATGCGGAACCTAACAAAAGAATATCAATCAAGGCTAAATGAGTGCCTGTAAAACCTGATTTATGGGCAATTAAAGGTTTTCCTGGATTACACTCCAGTCTCTCGCTGCACATAAATAATTCTGACTTCATTTATCTATCAAAAGGGACACAGATTTTTGGGGACAGGCGAAAAAAGAATAATGTAATCTGGGTGCTGGAAGCTAAAGACACAAGCAAGTTGGGGAAGGAGAAGCTGTAAATCAAAGCAGCTCCTATGGCTTCTGGGTTGGCCAGAGCAAAGGCTGCTAGAGAAGACGTGGAGTGATGGGCACATCGACAGGACTGCTTTTCTGAGGCATTTGTATTAAATTCTTCTGCAGGATTTAATTATGGGTCCTCTGCAGACTTTAATTATGGGACCTTTGTGCATTCAGATATTTTCACTTCGGGGGGTGATTTGTTGTCCCCAGCTGCCTCCCGCAACCCAGATCTCACCTGCCCCGTGACTCTCCCTCACCCATCATCTTTTGAGGGTCATGCCCTGGGCTGAACATCTGCCATTCAATTCACTTATAATTTTCCTTCAGTTTATCTGCGTTCACCTCTGGGGAAACCCTGAGCACAGCAAAGCATCAGCTGCATTTGCCATTGCGTTTTCAGGCTGAGCTGTGCAGGATTTCAGGGTGGAATGGGGGCTGTTGTCTGCAAAAGGCCAACACCCTTTGCCCACTGCTGTCTGAATGGAGGCAATTTCTTCTCCGTGGGTGACTCATTGACAAACCAGGGTATTGCTAGGAAAAATACAGTTGAGGAAAAAAAAAGTACAACAGATGGGCCTCTGGGCACGTTCTCCCATCTTCGGAAAGAGCCAACCGCTCCTGAGCAACAACTCTCAAGCACTGGAGAAAGGCAGTTTGGGTTGTTTACTTGGGGACTTCCACTAAAGATTTGTGCTTGGCTTTGGGTCTGGATATCCTTCTCCAACCCCAACTGTTAAAAACACAGATGTAACCTCTCCAAGTGCTGCAGCCTCGGACCTCAGCTTGAGCTGGTCGCTCCCAACTAACTTCTGAGCCAGCTCTGTGTGGGATTTCTGGAGAGCAGGGCTGTATTTCAGGGCAGGATCGAGCCTTCTGTGCAGGCTATTCTCATTGCATTTCTATATATTCATCCTATGGCGAGAGAGCAGCTATTCTGGGAACAAGCTGTGCCATTTCCATTCACTTTTTCATTGAAGATGTGAAATCACGGGGGTGAGCTCATACACACTGCATCTACTCCAGCTTTTAAGGAATGCAAGGACTGGAGAAGATCCCCAGTGTCTGTGTGTGTCCTACACAGCAGCAAAGGGGTGGGGAGCTGGTTTTGGGGCTTATTGCTGCTGGAGTGGATCAAGCAAGAAGGGAAACCATCCCCCACTGTCAGACCTTGGCTCTGTAAGACATTTCTACAGTATTATCAGCCCTCAAAATGTCATCAGTTCCTGACATCACTGCATGCGAACTTGTTCTTTTCAACCACGTGTTTAGTTTGTTTAAATGATGTGCAGGATGCCAGAGAGCAATAACCCAGAGTTAGCTGCTTGCCTTCTTGTCTGTCTGTCTGACCCTCTCAAGGGATGTCTGCTCTGCATGGCAAGGTGGCCAAACCAATGCTGGACTAGAGCTGATGCACAGGGAACACCTTAGCTGTGCCAGCCCAGGGATCTGCAGGATGCAAAGCCTGCCCAAGCAGGAGAGACTTGTCCCTTGGCTCTGTTGGAGCCAAGCTGCTGCAGGTCTCTGTGCTTGCAGGCTGCAGGGATGGGCTTGCTTGAGGCTGAAGTTTTCCTGTTTCTTTTAGCTAATGCTGTCTCCAAGAGAGGCTTGGCCTTGCCCACAGCTTGGGCTGCGCTGCCAGACTCTGGGGACAGTCCCCACACCACTGGGAAAATCATGGAGCCAGGGCATTACATTCTTTGAGAGTGTAGGATAATGCTAGAAAAGGATCTAAATACTCACTGTACATATTTTTAAGACAAAATAGATGGCTGGGTTGTGAAGGAGTGTTTTGCAGCTTGGGTACTCTGCTCAGCGCTGGCTAGGGAAAACTCCTCTTTGCCTGGGCTGCTTTTTGTGACCCTCTTTCTGGCCCCAGCCCCAGCGCTGGATAGTTTCTATCTCAAACTCTTGAAGGGTTTTGAGGACTCAGCCCCCAGTCCTCACAGGAAGACCACCCTTGGGGAACAGGTGGAAGCAGCTAAGGAAACCCCCAAACCTGGCGGGGTCTAGCAGAGCATGGGAGCTGTGTCTCAGTACCTTTGCACTGTTTTTCTGACTACTTTTTGCTCCCACGGTAGGCTACAGGGATCTGTCATTCTCTCTTGGCTGTCCTTATCCTGGATCCCAACCCTATTGCAGCAGGGTGGTGGCTTTGCCCACGGTGTCCCTACGTACCAGCCAAGGGGCACCTGGGGGGGAAAGAGCTCCTGCTCTATCTCACCTTCATTGCTTACATTGGAGCCGAGCAAAACCTGAGCTAGTGAATACAACCCTCCCTCCCCCCCAGAAACAAAACAAAACAAAAAAACAAAGCTCTTATAAAACAGGATGGGGCTGTGCATTTAAAAGTCAAAGAAGCTTTAAAAGGCAGCACCAACTTGGCAGGGCAGTCACTGGGTGCTCATCAGCTCTTCTCACCCAGGTGAGAACTTTTTATCCAAAGGTGTAGCTAAATTTGGGTGGTAAGAAACCAGCCTGCATGTACGAACCACAAAGGTGCTAACGGTGCGGGCTGACCCTCTGTGTTTTCCGTCCTTTTAATTCTGCAGTCACAACTGGGCCACTGAGACAGCATTTTGCAGAGAGCCAGGCAAATTTATTTATTTTTTAACACTCTCAACACAGAGATTTAATCAAAAACTTGGTCATTTTGTTTAACTGCCCACCTAGGTCTGTTACAATAATGCTCAGGAAACATTTTCCTCGCCTCATTCCCTGGGGTCTGGGATCTGAACATGCTTTGGGCTGGGAGCATTTGCTTTCTTGATGAGCCCTCAGGGAGAAAAAATATTGCTTCTGACAAAGCATTTGCATTTTGTGCAGAGCTGCAAAATTAGCAGTGGCTCCAGTTCCACCGTGAGCAATACAGAGAGGAAAGTCTTGAGCTTTGCGGGTGGGGGAAGAAAAAGGAGAGGTTTCTTTAGGAAATCAGTCAAAGGCGGGGGAATAATTCAGCTTTGCATTTGTGCTGTCCCCATCCATCACACCCCCCAGAGTAGGCTGCTGGGAGGGGGCAGCTAAGGGCTACTGGTGGCAGCTGGTTTCACTGGGAGGTGTGAGGTGGGGAGCTGCTGGGAGAGCCGGGCTGCTCTCGAGGGGACCTTGTGGTGAGTCCCTGGCTCTAGCCCCCTCCCCGCTAGTTTTTGGGCGCTGTGAGCTCTTGCCAAGACCCCATGCTCAGGTGGAGGAGCCTTCCCGGGGGCTCTTTGTGTCTCCTTTGACTTTTCCCTTCCTGGAAAGAAAGGGAAAAGTCGTCGCGGAGACACCGAGCGGGGCAGGGTGCCGAGGGGAGGGAGGCAGGAGGGTCCCCGGGGGAGCAGAGGGCTGGCGAGCACCTTACCTGTAGGAGGAAGAGGAGGAGGAGGAGGGCAGGACGCAGGCTGGGCACCATCCTTAACTCTCTCTGCGCCCAGCTCCCCGGGGCATGGCCGGCAGCACTCCTCGCTTCTGCTGGGCTCCTTCTGCCGTCGGGGCTGCAAAATCCTCGGGGCTTCGTACCGGGGCCGCACGGAGGTGGTAGGTACCTTCACTCCCCCCGCTTCGCTCAGAGACCCTCTCCTGCCTTTATAACCTCCCTGGAAGCCGCCCCTCCGGCTGCCCACCCTGCAGCTCGCCTGCCGATGGGCTGCATCCCTCCCCATCAGCCTCCCACTCCCCCCTTCCCACCTCCTCCTCTTCCTCCTCCCCTTTTCCTTCCTCCACCTCCCTGGCGCCTTCCAACTATTTTTTTTTTTTTCTTTCTTTCCCTTTCTCCTCTCCCTCAGCATCTTCGGCAGCGGAAAGGTCCCGCATCCCCCCCGTTCCTCCCCCCAGGACCCGGACCTCTCCTCTCTCTGCCCGCAAAAGCCGGCATTTTGCTGCTGGCGCTGCGGGCTCTCATGCGGAGGCTGCGGGCACCTGTGCCTGCATGCAGCGGGATTTGGGCTGCAGTTTGCAGGGGGGTTGATGCATTCACAGATTTTGTTCTGGCACAGGGTCAGGGGAAGGGGAAGCTTCCCCTCCCGTCCCTGCTGCAGTTGGCAGCGCCTTGCAAACCGGCTGGTGAATCAGAGGGAGGTGGGAGCCCCCTTCCACTTCCCAAAGGGATGGGGGAGAAAGGGCTTCAGCCCCTCCTCGTGATGGAGATGCTGTAGGGACAAGGGGGGGACGTGGGTCCTTGCATGCAGCAGGGATGTGCTGGAGACATTGATCGTAACAGGGCAAGCAGCCATGCAGGGGGTGTTGCTTGAGGGCTGTTTTTCACATAGGATGGGTGGAAGGGGCAGAAGCAATGGGGCGGGAGCAGTGGGACTTGAACTGACAGTGGGGGGCACTGGTCTGGGGGACACGTGTTTTGGGAAAGGTGAGAGCAGTGGGGGCCTGGACTGTGCTTCTGGGGCTAACAGATGCCCTCCAGCCTAAAACTTGGATGTTAAGGGGTCTCTGTTCTGTGCAATCACCTGGAAGCCTCCAGCTTGAGCTTCTGGGGTGGTGTCCCACATCTCTTGGGGGCACCATGGCCAAGCTTGAGTCCACCTCTGGGCTGGATGAATCTCTGGGTGAAGCTAGAACAGTTTCTGGGCATCCCTTCTGCACCCACCTGGGGCTTGGAGTGTTTGTTCCAGCCATGGTTGATTCGCCTGCCCTGGGCAGCCTGGCTCAATGACCTGGCAGCAGAAAGCCAGGCAGCAAGTTGTGGTTCCATTTTCCTTGAGAAAATAAGGAGAGTCAAGGTGTGCTGCTGGGAAGGGGACAATGGCAGACATAACCTTCAGTGTCACCATTCTGGGGGGTAAAAAGGACATTTCCCCTTCCTGATTCTGGTGCACCTGCTGCCAGCCCCTTGCAGGGTGTAGCACTGTGCACCCCTCTTTGTCCCAGTCACAGCCTCTGACCACAGCATGTGGCAGACAGATCAATAAGAGGGCAGTGTCCATTGATGGATTCCCAGCCTATGCCTCCATCCATCTTTGCTGAGCCACTTTCTGCCTGTGAAGCACGGGAGAGAGCATGAACAAGGTGAATGAGGTCCTTCCTGCATCTGCTGGACCAAGGTGTGAGTGGCTGGCCAGGGCTGCAACCAATGGCCCATCCCAGACCCCAAAGGGTAAAAGCTCCCAGCCCAGTCATTAAAGGGAATAAACAACCCAGACCTAAATCTTCTGGCATTAGCTGGGTTTAACCAACTGTGTCACTGCTTTGGAAAATAAGTTTGAAAATATGTAAAGCTCTGATAAACTGAGGAAACTCTTTGTTTCTTAAGTCTCCTAATATCCCTACCCCCCAGAAATGACAGGACAAGACATGCTCCAGAGCTACCTCTGCATTTCCTTTCTCTTCAAAACTTTCTAAGGGAAAAATGCCTCGTTGGTGGTGAGGAGGCAGGGATTGAGTCTTCTGGGGCAAGGCAGAATTTTTGCTGGCATTTCCCCATGGGCAGAAAAATTCAGCCCCTTCCCTAAGAGTGTCATGGGGCTGGGGCATGGCTCCACGCTCTGGTTTTGGGGACATCTCTGAGGCACAGGTGACACCTTACAGCCAGGAGCACTGGGGACCCTGTTTCCACACCATGCCCCAAATTCAGCTCAGCTCTCTGGTAATGGCTATTTTTTTTTTGGTATTGAACTTATGAGCTGTAGGATTGACACTGCCTAAGTTGGTGTTGCTCCCACATCCTTGCAGGATCAGGCTTGGGTGAGCATTCACCCCTCTGCAGATAGCCACAGGTCTGACCTGATCCCCAGCAGTGCTGAGTCTCACCTCACTCCCACGCCACGAGCGAGGCTTTAGTGGCATGTGCTGGTCAGAAATGCCGGGAGAAAACACCATTTTCACCCTCCTGGGGCTAGTCCTTATCCATCCCAGCATGTCCAGGCCAGGACACATGCAATAATAGCCACTGTCATCTCAGGTGCCTGAGAGTGTGGGGTGAAAGCCAAAGTGAGCACCAACTATTTTTAGTTAAGGAATTGGTTGCCAGGGACGTGAAGATAATTCCTTCCCCATATATCAGGGAAATGACTGCAGTGCTGTTTTAAAGGCCTAATTGAGGGGATTTATAGCAAAATGCAACTTGTCAGATGTGGCAAAGGAAAAATAAAACAGTCCCTGAGACAAGGAAATCAGTCCATTCGTCATGGTTAATCTCAAACTCCTTGGTGCGGTGCAGAGACAAACGTAGGAGATGGGTATTAGGGATGGGGAAAATGAAGAGAAATATTGGATCTCCAGGAAGGAGGGAGAGGAGTGATTTAGCCTGACTTTATCTGCTTTTGATATATTATTATTTTATGTAACTGCACATGGTTTGATGCTTTTGTTTCCAAGCAGCTCCAGGATGTTTGGATTTTTGGGGCTGTTTGTGTGAGTTATGCCACCGCAGCATTCCTCCCTTGTCTCCTGTCACCCTGCAGCCATCCTCCCAGCCCCCTTGGGACTGCTCTGTGCACCCATCCAGCATGGCACGGCCAACAGGGACAAGACCAGAGCCAGTCCCTGCCCTTGGGGAACCTGGCACACATCCCCACTTCCCCCTTGGGGCACCGGTAGCAGTGATGGCCATAGGTACTTTGTGCTTCCAACTGGGATGTCCGCAGGCAAAAAGCAATCCCCAGTGTCATGGACATAGAGGTCAAGCTGGTAGAAGAGTGGAATTTGGCTTTTCAGCTGAAAATGCAGCCAAGATTGGCAATGGGCCTCAGTTTCCCTTCTGGTTGGTTGGGGCTGTTCCTTTCCTGTGACAACTGAGGAAAGCAGAGGACAGGTTTTAGTGTGGTGTTCAGTGCAGGAAGTGCTGTCACAGTGAGGACCTGCTTTAAAATCCAGTTTCAGGCTCTGTCTCCAAGCTTTGACCATTTTTCCTCCTTCTGGACCTGCAGTGAAGGGAAGAAGATGTTCTCTAATTCTATCTGCCAAAAAAAAAAGTGTTTGCTGGGCCCAGGTGTTCCACATACCAAGACTTTGTAAACTGTGCTCAAATTTTGGGCAGTCTTGTTGTATTTAACAGTTCCATATAGCCTGCTTTGTCCCTGCAAGCCTTACAGGGCAAAGCTTAATCCAAAGACCTGCTGAATACATTGTTGGGAGGTTGGCTCCTTGCTCAACCAGCAACCACTTGTAATGGTTAATGCCTTAGAGCTGTGCTGGCAGAAAGGTTTGTTGGTCCTTGAAGACCCTGAGAAAGGCTTGGGTGGCCTCCAGACACTTCGGGCCCCTGCTCATCCCATCAAACTCTACCGGAAAGGCTGGAGTTGTTGATGCAGTCATGCAGGGAGAGAAACCAACGTACTCCCAGGAGAAGGAAAAACCAGCCAGGACACACGTTGCGCTGAGTCTTGCTCTGACTCACTGCTCCATGCAGCAAGCGACTGATTCCTTCATTGCACAGATAATTCCCTCCCATGCTTTCTTTTTCCTCTCCCAGATTGTGTGCATCAGTACATCATGTCAACAGAAACGCTGAGACAGCATCTGCAAATAAAAGCGAGCAACTCAAGGAAGCTGGGAAACCCACAAAGATCTGGGATCTCACTGAACATCTAATTTGATTTCTGAGTTTCTTAAAATAGCTTGTCATATTTTTCAGATTTCTGTTGGAGGGAAGTGTCAGTTTTGAATAGAATGGGAAGAGAAAAGCTTTTGTTTTACAGCTAATTAAACCTCAAGGCAGGATGCTAAACTAATCACAATAATAGTCATAATTATTATTTTCCTCAATCAAAAAGCTTTTAGCTAAGTCAACCCAAATTTGCCAATTGCCATGTTCGTGTTCCCTATCAGACAAAATGCCACAGTTTGTGATCCGGAAAAACTCCCCAGATTTACGCCGGAGACTCATCCCAATGAGCCAGCAGCCCAAAGTGCTCTGCTTTCATGAGCTGTGTGACAAAGATGCATGAACCTGCCAGCATCCAGCCAGCCTGCTTGTGGCTGCATCTCTCTTAGGAAAGTTTTGTTGTGCTGATGTACGTGGCAGTGTAGCATAGGTGTAGATGATGCTGTTGCATGGACTGTAGCCAGAGCAGCTCTGATGACATGAGGACATACCTATGCCCCCAGGGGACGTGCCACTGACAAGGTGGGGTGAAAAGCCACATCCACAGTGTGCTGAATGTTACAGCTAATGCACACTTTGAGCGTGACCACATCGTGGGTATGGATGTGCCACAAGCAATGGAAATGTCCTGCAGAGATCATGGCAAGGATTGTGGCTTCCTCAGAAATGTCTCATTGTAAAAATACCTCCCCTTTTTTCAGCCCCGTAAATGCCAGTCAAGGCAGGAGAGACTCTGGATGTCTTTCAAATCTGGTTATTTATTCCCTGTACATTTGATGAAATATTAATCTTCTCATCTCCAAAAGGCAATCAAATAAAACCCAGAAGGAATGACGCACGGGGCCTCTATGCAGAGAGCAAAAAAGCAGCGAAATAAAAGTAAAGTAAAAACAAACATAATGGAAAATTCTATAAAAAGCATCATTATGGTAGCATGAAGAGCAGAGACCAGATGGCCCAGCGCCCTTGGGGTCGATGGGCTTGGGAGGCTAAGCAAGAGCCTGCCAGGAATGGTATGGGAGGATAGGGGGACCAAGATCATTGCCTGCTCGGGCAGATCTTATGCTCTTGCTGGGATTTTGCTGAAGGTTTCCTCTTCCTTTCCTCATTCCTTAATGAGAGGGTGGATGATTCCTT